AGCGGGAGGTGGGTGGACATTGCTTGGTCTGCTAAAGCTCTCCTTGATAGAAATGCAGTTCTTCGTGCCGAAGATGCTCTGATCGATACCTTTCCTGCAGGGTGACCGATCGGCAGCTGGTTCTCTACATGGGCGATACCAGGACCGCGCAGCAGCAATGTGTGTGATCTAGGGAAGATGGAGAAAATTCAAGACCATCTCAATACCACTTAGTGTCAAAATTAGCTTGTCTGCTCTGTTAGTTACTCTGATAACGTTTACTTGTGCAGCTTTCTAGGACATCAAGGTTTTGCATCAGCCACAATCCATCAGTTTAATTCCCTCTTTAAAGCAGAGATCATGAGTCTTAAAATAGGAGGAAAAACAGCAGCCCGATAGGCAGCAGGGAGCTTGTTTCCAGCCTCAGGCGATGCAGCTGCAGGCATGAAGTTCTCCCAGAGGAGGAACACCTGGGGTGGTCGTGCCCCACCAACAGTCCTAGGTCTTTTGGGCAAATCCCAGTTTTTCTGAGCAGCAGTTTTGCACAGAAGAACTTCAGGGCTTTGTGAATACAGAGAAGTTCTTTATAACCCAGCTGTGGGCTGTTTTTGCATAGTTGGTGATGATATCTACCCTGGTTGGGCTTGGACAAAGCTCCTGATTTCTAGCACCTGCCTTGAATGCCTTCCCTTGGGTCTTTCCCTTTGTTGGTTAGCAGGTAACGGGGAAAGTGGGAACACCTGAAGGGAAGGGTGGGTCTTGGAAGACCTGGGAGGCAGAGGATGCCGCCCACAGCTATCGAGGTGAGCAGAGCTGGTTGGGTGCTCCTTACCTCCCTGGGCTGGCTGTGGTGCAGAAACACTCTGTTATTGATGGCCGGAGGTCAGCTCAAGGTAGGTGTGTGGCAAAATTTTGTCGTTTTATGAGTGAGACGTGTGAGATTTTCAACAGAGTTGCCAGTGGAGGTCAATTAAATGCTGGGGTGGTGACCCTGTGGAGCATGTCTTTTGGTCTGGGTTATGGGGAATGAGGAACATGGGGTTGAGTAAACCTCAGAAATCCAAGGCTGGTGTTAGCTGGGGCTGGCTTCTGGTTTTAGGGTGAAGGAGGCTCAATTTGCACTATACCGCGGTTGATTTAATCCAGGTATTTTTTGTGCGTTTTCAAGTGTCTTTTGGTCTAGAGGACTTCTGTAGCATGGTCTCTGTCGTTTCGCTGGTGCTTTGGTCCCTGTGTGTGAAACGTGCCGAATCCTGCTGTGGTAACTGCGTAGAAAAACTCAAAAAGGGGAAAATTTAAGGGAGGATGAAGCCTTGAGGGTGTGTTAGACTTGTGCAGAGCTCGGCCAAGGTCCAGAACATATCAAAGGTGCTGCAGAGTGAGTTTCTTTCTGCAGGATTTTACAATGTAAGGCAAGGACAGAGCTAAGCAGCATTCTTTCAGAAGACGATAATTCTGCCTTCGGTACGGACGGCTTTTCTGCAGGGGCATCCCAATCCGGGCTGCGGCAGTTCTCTGGTGTGCTGGGGTTGAACCGGGTCGTTAGCATTGCTGCAGCGTTAATTACTCCAAAAGCAAAAGGTTAATTTGAAGTTTTGTGGGTTGCAGAAGGTACCGGGGAGAGCAATGCCTTTCATTTGGTGCCATCGTGTAGGTGCAACAGAAAATATGTATTTTTGCGGGAATGGTTGGTGAAAGTGGTTGGGTGCGCTGGATCCAAGGAGACGCAGGGTCTGCTAGCGCCGCCGCGTTCCGGGAGCCAAAATAAAAGCAAACCTCCATATCTCTTGTAGTGATTTTGCTAGTGAGTCCTGGATTAAAAAAAAAAAAAAGAAAACCCCACACCACAGGCTGGACGGGTGTTATTAGTCAAAGTGAATTATTAAAAAAGTTGTACTTCAGATTTCCTTCCAGCCTGAGAAAGCAAAACGTGTCCTCCTTTGCTATGATCCAGCCACTGTTTTATCTCTTTTTTGTTCCAAGGAAGCATTTGGAAGCAGTGGGCATGCAGTTATCGCTCCGCAATAACTCAGCCAACATCAGCTTTCTGCCACAAATCTTCTGAGCGCAGCCGGAATCAATAGATGGTGTTTGTTTATTTTGATACAGCAAAGCAAGGGGGGAAGAAACAACCAGGCAGGTGAGGGAAAACAAGAGCTTCGACAGATTTTGTTTATATAGAGTTGTCAGGCTTGTTTTTAAAAAAAAATAAAATGAAAGCGCCGATCAGATTAGATTGAGATTTCCGGCACGGATTGAAAATGCACACGATGCTCCCGAGCACAAAGACAGCCTTTCACCCGTGCCTCAAAGGAAAGATTTGTGCTTCTCTTGCCGGCGCTCCCCGAGGAATATTTGAATTATTACGCCCAGGCTGCCATGCCTACCTGCCAGCTCCATTACCGCTGCGAGGTGAGACCCTGCAGCAGCGTCCCCGGTGCTGAGCACGCCGGAGAAAATCCCGGCGGGCTGGAAACCTCAGGGACCTGCGGTATCTGATTTTGCCCAGGGTGGTGACTACCTGTGCACAATGCTGCTTGAAATTTGCCCCTGCTTGCTTGGTGTGGGAGGAGCTGCTCTGAGCATTTTGGGGACCTTAGAAATGCTTATAAATTTCTGCAGGGGGGGTGTCAGGAGGATGGGGCCAGACTCTTTCCAGTGGTGCCCAGCGACAGGACAAGGGGCAACGGGCACAAACTGAAGCAGAGGAAGCTCCAGCTGAACCCGCGGAAGAACTTCTTCCCTCCGAGGGTGACGGG